ATTGAGTCGTATAGGAACACTTTCCTTTATTACGCTCGATACTTCGGCCGAAGATTCCCGAATCATATCTTAGAGTATTCTTCCTCTCTTATCGAGGATTAGAGATTCCTTGTTGCGCATACACTTGCCTTCATGACTAAGTGGCTTAACCCCAATTATGTCGTGGACACCCTCGAATGGGGAGACTTTGACATAATCAAAGATTAAGTACTTAACCACAAGACAACGACGATGACTCAGGTCTAAGGATTACTTACATCTTTCCAACCATTAGAGTTACTTGCTTGACATGTGAGTAGACCTCCATGCAAGTACTCCTGTTCGATTGTGTTCAGTGAACTCATTCCCTTAATGAGCACCTACATACTTGTCTTAGTGTCACAACACGAATGGGTTGAGACTTTCCATCCTTCCAATTGAAGCGGACACAGCATGTACTGGTCTAAGCATTGTCAGTATCCCTCCGACAATCCAATGACCAGGAACCTTTTGGACATAATGGTTATGTGAAGAAGGTCTCTGTAGTATAACATCATTAGATTACTTCTTCAATCGATCCATTGTCCATAGATTCACTATTCAGGACATATATCGTTTATTGAGATAGTCCTAATTAGTATCTTCGCCATTTGATGTATAAGAATCATCTATACATCGATTCATTTGTCCTGAAAGATTTCTTCCAAAGATTGACTTTCAGGGCATATTTCCAACACAAAGGCCGGCCACCTAGAGGGTGAATTAGCTAACAATCTTTCACCCTTTTGGTTATTCCTCCATCCATCTCACTACACTAGTGGGTGTGGATATTTAGAGGTCTTCTCCTTTGGAGACTAAAGGAGAACCTTGGAGCACTCTTACTAACAAAGTGGAGGAGGCAAGGAGGGAGGCTAGGCTCAAGGACTTCAAGGAGCAAAGGACTTGGAGGTGGTCCATCCTTGGTCTAAAAACAAGATCAAGAGGTATAGATCTATACCTTCAATTTATTCTTAACTTAAATGTTTTAGATGCATTATATATAAACCTATGAACCTTGAAGGGGATTTGCATGACTATAGCTTTGATATTATTTGATAAATTGCTTCCGTTGCTCATGTATATAATTTTTGAATTGTATATGCATGCAAGTCATTTAGAAATCCCATGTGTTAAACTCATATTTTTTCCCTTCAGGAAGAACAGGTCCTGGCACCACTTTAGCAATAAAATCCACCTTCCTGCTCTTCATAACGGTAAGACTCTTAGAAGCCGAATTAGACTTAGCTCCAGACGCGCACTTCGATACAAACCCAGACATTGGCGGCACCATAGAACCTTTACACTGGCTAATCTTTTCAACAATAGTCGTAGCCACCTTTGGAGCAGCAAGCTTCACAAGGTTAGACTCAACAATCTTTTTCTTCCTTGTGGGAGAGTCAAATCAATGACAAGATTTTCAACGACATACGTTAGGCCCCACAACTTGGTCCTATTTTATCCTTCAATGTGCAGCCTGTAGAGATCCAATCTAGCAAGCCTCACGGCCCAAATAGGAAAGAGGCCCATGCCTGCCTCATTCTCTCGAGCTGACGCCTGACCCACATAGGCCTCGGCCCACAACTCTCTCTCTCCACAGCAATATGAGCTTGTGCCCAGCTTGCTAAGCACGGCATCTCAGGCCTAGGCTGTGCCCCAGCCACGTAATTCCTGGCCCATGCCAGTTATGCCCCGAGCCAAGCTCATGGCGCCAGCTCCTTAGCCCAAGCCAAGCCGATTCCTAGCCCTTGCCAACAAGCCATGTCGTACTGCAGGAGCTCCCAGAGCTGCCTGATTTACAGAGCAGACATGTGGTTGCCAAGTCACATCCCTCGGCCCTACCGAGCCAATTTTTCAAGCCCCGAGACTCCAAAAAATTAAGAAGAAGGAAAATTAGATTTTTTCCTTACCTTATGTCGTGGAGAAGAAGAACAAGAATGAGAAACAACTCTTTGCAAGGGCAAGAGAAGAAGAAAGCTAGGGAAGGGAGAACAAATCCCTTACTTAAGGCATAATTAAATAGGTATGGGTGGAAATTGGTTTCCCTTTTCCTAGAAGAGTCTATCTCCAAGTCAAAGAAGGGGATCTACATTAAATTGGGAAACAACTCCCTACACACCTAGGCAGCTTGTGACTTCTACATCCACTGCCCTTTTCCTACATGCAGCCCAACAGTTGTGGGGGCATTTTTGGAGCCTAAAATAATCCCAAAATTCCTAGAGGCGACACGTGGAATTTGGTCAAGAAAGACAAGATTGCCCTCATTAAATAGGCAGGCTTCTCAAATACTCTTACGCACAGCTCAACACCCCTGAAGGTCTAAGCAGCTGAATATGACTGCTCACAACTCACTTGGCCAGCAAGGAAAAGTCAAAGGCATTAAGGATAGGATTAATTACCAAATCTCATATTTAACACATTCCTAATTGAAAATTGACTTCATCAAGTAAGTAATCCCTATTTCAATCAACTAGGGATACTTCCACCGTTATCTCAAGATATTATTTCATATTTAATATCTTGAGAATATTCTTTCTATACACATTGGCCAATAGGACGCTGCCATGCATAGGGCAACACCCTAACACCATGGCTGGACACCTTTCCTCCTATAAATACCTCCATTTCTACCAAATTTCAGTAAACTTTTGCTACCCCTAAAAGCAAACACATAATCTTTTCAGAGAAATTAACTTAGGCATCAAAGATCCATTGGCCTAAACCCCCCCTCCTATAAATACCTCCATTTTTAAGTCTTCGCGACACGTTGATTGTTTCATAGGTACATTTTCATCAAAGCGAAGGATGGTGGAAATTTGCTTTGACATCTTTCTTTACATTCATAATAGATAAATATTAAATAACGATGATGTTATTGTTGATATTGTTGACAAGGATACATACCTTTTTTAGTCTCACACACGCTCCATTGAAGCTGAAAAATAAAACTCAAGTTTTGAAGCAGAAGTGCATATGCATGAATTGAACAATACAAAAACTTGCTGATGAAAGACATTGTGAGTTGACGCAAAGACTTAAAAGCAGGAGTAAACTTTGGAGTCCAAATCAGTTGTTCAAAGTCTTAGGAAATTTCGTGGATCTCATTGTCGTTGCCTTCATTTTATGACGCACAGTAATTTTTATATATCATAGTCTGTTAGAATATTAAAATTAGGCTTAGTCTATGAGCTGAAAAAATGTAGCCGCTCCCCTAGATTTTCATTGGTCATGAATTCATAAACCAAAGCTGTGAAATCATTTCCTTGAAAATCGATACTTCCGCACACAGTCAGTAGTTTAACAGGATTTCGGTGCCTAATATTTTTCAAGGTTTCACATTTAACCATAAAATGAAAGAGTAGTTGCACGAAAATAGACCAAATACTAATAATAATCTGGATATCTGGGATTGGGAACTCCATTTAGGCGGAGCTATATAAAGAGAAAGGGTGATGCCCTATTTTATTTTCTTCTGTACGTTAAGCTGCAGTCATAGTGGGTTTCTGAGTGTGGTACCTCTTTTCTTCCTATTGTCCGACGTTTTGCAACTTTTGAGAATCCATGGTTGTTGCTACTCCAACGAGGTTCATGCGCGCCATCATGCATAGTGTATTTCATCTCTAAATTGTATTCATATTTCTTGCAGACAAATCTGGATATGCCAGTGCTCAAACACTTGGGACTAATCTAGTCCTTTCACATCAACCCCAAAATCTTCCCATACCACTAGAAAAAACATTCTGGAACCTAACAACCCGAAAATAAGATTTCTTGTGCCTACCTGGCCTGATACTTGAGCTACCAAAACCACCAAATGAGCAATTTTAAGTAAATTATTAACAATGCAAGAGGTGCAATCAACATTCATTTATGCGGGCTGTGTACGGAAAGGCCTCCACGGCCTACGCTCAATGATCATACGCAGGTCTTAGTGTTAAGATTGGATGCCATCACGAGTCACTCACACAAACAGCGACCACATACTTGTGATCAGCATTTCAAAATGTGAAAGCTTATAAACAAGTGTTTTATGTCCCATAAGGCGAGGCTTGTGTAAAATAAGAAAATGAACCATACTTACATTGACAAATTCCAAATTTCCAAAGAAACATAATGATGATGTTACAAATAAAGACCATTCACAAAACATACACAATGAAATTGCAAAACGGGAAAATCAACTTCACTTGTTCCAGTCCTCGTCATCATTCAGAAGATCACCATGCAAAACTCAAAGGCACTGTTCTGGGATTTTAAATAATAATAACAGTGTATTATTACTCACCACTTGGGTCGTGATTATGGATTCTCTCTGGGCATCCTAGTTCCAATTAGCACATCCCTTATAAGACTCAGTTCAGCTACCACACAACACATGTCTGTTCGCTCTCTCGGCATCGCTACAGAACAAGCAACTCCTATTCTTGCAATGGAAGTCAAGCACTCCACAACCTTTTGTCTTTGATCATTTGGGGCATGATTCCCCCTATTACTTCTGGGATTAATACTGCTGCTGCTTTCTTCTATTTGAACAAGTAGTGGATCACATATTTCTCCCACACGTTCTGGTAAAGCGATCATAACAAAATTGTGCAAGTCCATACCATCTTTAAACATGTCATTTCTCAGCCTCTTATCAGTTAGCATTTCCAACAATAGTATTCCATAGCTATACACGTCCCCATATGTTGACACTTCGCATCCCATTCCATACTCTCAAGTTATATACACAAAAACATAGCTTTATTCTTATGTGTGACTACAAAAAGCTCCTGCTATATACAATAACATAGTGCAAGCACAAATAAAATGTATATAAAGAAAATTTACGTGGGGGAGTATAGCCTATGGTGCCTTTTATGACACTAGAATTGCTTTCGTGCAAAGGAGATGGGCAAGAAGCATCCCGGAGGTACCTTGCTAAACCAAAATCACCAACAAAAGTAGTCATGTCACTGTCTAACAAAATGTTGTTGGGCTTTATATCACAATGAACTATTGGCATGTGAGCGGTTGTGCAAATAATCCAGAGCACACTCTATATCGATGGCAATGTTAACTCTTTGAATAGGATTCGGATTCTTCGGCATATTAGCTGGCCTATCTACTCCTTGAGCTGAAATGTGCAACCTTTCATCTAGGCTTCCATTCACCATGAACTCATACACCAGTGCTTTGAAATTGTTTCCTTGAAAATCAATGCTTGAACAAGCGGTCGGTAGCTTGACAAGATTTCGGTGCCTAATGCTTTTCAAGGCTTCACATTAAGCTACGAAACTTCTAGAAGCTCTTGAAGTTCGAAGATTGAGTACTTTCACTGCAACAATTCTTTGTTCAAGTTGATTGAGAATTCCCTTGTCCACTGACCCAAAACTTCTATGAACAATCAAATTTGTAGCAGAGAACCCATCAGTTCCTTTGAGGATATTTCCATAGGACAATTTCCCCAACGATGATCCTGAAGTTGACTTAAGCGCTCTAGCTTTTCTTGATCGAAAAAGAAGAGTAAGTAACAACACTAAGACGAAGCCAACAACACCACTAGAAACTGAGATAATTAAGCTCAGTTTAGGCAATAACCTTCTCATAGATTGTTTGGAGATGCATTTAGGCAATCTTAAGTGAGGTATACCTCCACAAAGCCGTGTGTTTCCCACAATAGCTTGCATTCTTGAAAACTCCTTGGATTGGTACTGCACCTTCAAAATTGTTAAATGAAAGGTTTAAATTCTGCAAGAAGGGGAAATTCTCCAAGTAGTTGGGAATTATGCCAGACAAGTTGTTGCAAGAAAGGTCAAAATCTTCAATTCCCTCTCAAAAAGCTCCAGGATTTAGGAATCGTCCCATGCAATAAATTTTCTCTCAAACACAGAGCTGCCAAACTTCTGCAACTCCCTAAGCTTTGTGGAATCTCACGAGATAAATTGTTTTTAGAAACATCCAAGAAAACAAGATGCTATAAGTTACCTACTTCCATGGGGATGGATCCAGTAAGCTGATTGATGGATAGATCCTTTGAAAATGGTAATGATGATAAACTAATGATTTGTTTTGGAATTGGACCACTAAGATTAGTTTGAGAAAAACTCAAAACTATTAGATTCTTGCATACTCCAAGGCTTTATGGTATGCTGCCTTGTAACTCTGGCTTGACTTGAGAAGCAATCTGCCTTATTCAATTTACCTATCAAACTTGGTAAAGTGCATGTCAATCGGTTGTCATCAAAGTTTATTGTCTCCAAGTTGATGAGATTTCCAACTCCGACAGGAATGTTTCCGCTTATCTGATTCCCTCGAAAATCTATTCTCCTGAGCTTTCTTGAGAGATTGCTGATAGATTCAGTTAGCACTCCTCCAAAATTATTGGCACTGATAGATACAACTTCTAAATTGGCGCAATTAACTAGAGAGGAGATGAAATCCAAGTCACCTTCCTCATTATTTCCAAAGTTGTTATCATGAAGTGCAAATAAATACAAATTTGACTGGATTGCCATGTTGGAAATGTGCCCTAAAGCCAATCATATGATGATACTTTACGGACATTTCACATGTTAAACTAATCTAGTTTAATTAAAGGGCAATGATTATTATTTAAAGTCATCTCATATAAATGTTATATGCTTAAATGATAAGTCCAAGGAATATGTAATTGCGAGAATGTGATCTAAAGAAGTTAGATTCATAAGACCATTCTCTTTTGTATACATGTCCTAAATGTTCCTGATCATAGGATTGCCAATTGGGCATTGACAGTCCGTTATAATCAGTACGTGCTATGTCTTTTCTTAGGGAGAGTGACTGGTCTTGAGTCATTGGTGTGACTGACATCAAGACAAGCATGTAGGTGCTCAATAGAGAATGAGTCCACTGAACACGATCAACAAAGAGTTCTCATACTCATGTCACATGAGAACTCATGAAGTAGTCATTTGACCTAAGGCATCAGAGTTGTCTTGTGGTTAGGTCCTTGATCTTTGAATATGTCAAAGTCACTTTGTCAAGGGGCGTCCACGACATAGTTGGGGTTACGTTACTTAGCCATGGAGGCAAGTGAATGCACAACAAGGGATCTCTGACCTTTAAACCGTTTGAGGGAGAATACTCTATGATACGATTCCTCCTTTTAATTGTTAATTGCATGCATAGATGTTGCTCAAATGAACTAGTTTTACAAATATTTCCTTCAAGTGGTATCAGAGCCTAGGTCTAGTTTTTGGTGAATCCTTTTGGGTTTTGTAGTTCATAGTTTTTGATTTGAATGTTGTAATTGTTACAAGCTTTATTATTGTTTCTTTGAATGTAAATTTTGCTTGGAAATTTGTCATCTCAAATGTTGTAGATGTAGTTCATATGAGCTTGAATTTTGAACTAAAATTTGATGCCATGTTTATGGGGAAATTCGGCCAAATCCAAATGGTGGATTTTTGGGTTCATGTTTGTCTTGTTAAAAGTGTTTTAAAGTGACTTTTGAAACCCCTAAGTACCCTAGGATGTTAACCCTCTTTTGAGTAGTGAAAATTTGAGTTTTATTGAGTGAAAACATTCATGGAGCTCTTATGGGTTTTCATGGATGCTCTTTCAATGTTCTTGCTTTCAATGGCGGAGCTAGAAATTTTTCACTGGGTGGGCTGGCATAAAGATTTAAATCATTATAAACAAAGAAACTTGATACTATATTTTTTACAGCATTAGCCAACTTAAGAAAATTTTCATTAAGTGAGCCAAGAAATTTTGTTATTCAAACAAATTCAAACTTGTACATGTACAAGAAGCGATATATGATGGGCTACATCGAAAATCAATGACTAAATATACTAAAGCGAGAGAATTCAAATCAGTAACTAAATATATGATAGGCTACATTCGAAAATCAATAAAAATTACATGTAAAATTTTATTTTCTACCAAAAGCTACATGGGCTACAGCCCAGGGTAGCCCTTAATTTGGCTCTATCGGTGGTTGCTTTGTTCTTGTTGTTCATACCAAGAACAAAAAGTTTGTTATTTTGATTTAAAAATGGTGTTTGGTTGTTTATTTGTTTTTGTTAGTGATGGATGGTATGATTTTTCAAACAACACCCATACTTCTTTTACTATTCGCACCATACCAATCACTTACAACTGTCAATCACCTTTTAAACACACAAATCAACTCACACACACCATCACTGCTCACCATGACCGGCCACCCCTATAATGGGGGTACTTTTGGGGCTTTTATGTAATTACATAAAGTTTTGATACTTTTGTGTATTTGTACTTTGACCCAAAAGTTTACGTTTTTACGTAAAGGCCCAAAATCACTAAAGGACAAATTGTATTGCTCCTTTAATGAAGTTTTTGCATTTGTTGAAAATTTTGGGTTCTAGTTGTAATTACATGAAGTAGTGGACTTTTGTGTTTTTACAAAGTGGCCTCAAAAGTTTGTGTTTTGCAATATAGCCCAAAAAGTTGAAGTTGTTGCATTTTGGCCCAAATTAGTTGAGAACAAAATAGTTTTGTATCTTTAACTGAGAATTGGATTTTCATTTCATTTAGCTCCATCTAAATCAATTCTATGGATAAAAACACTAAATGACAATGTTGCATTCAAGTTTAATTAGTTAAAGTGTTAATTAATTAAAGAAAGGGTGACTATGATCCTAAGCCTACTATAAATGAGCTATGTGAAAGGCCGTCTCTCAAATTTGTTTGAACCATAGGAATGTGTAGATTAGATTTTGGTTGTAATTTGATATGATCAAATGTTGTAAAAGAGCATAAGCTCTTCTATACTTTAAAGTAATTTGATTAGGTCAAATGTTGTAATAGAGCATAAGCTCTTCTTTACAAGTACTCCTTTCTTGTTTTATTTGATATGCATGAAATTCGAGTAGTAGGGTCCAACGCCCAATAAGAAAACATGCTTTAATGTGATTAAACACGTAACTAAAATCAATCACGATCCCAAGACTGAGATCTAACACTAGGCTCGTGTTGGATCGAATCAAAGGTTCATAGTCATCCCAAGGCCCTAAGGCAACTATATAGTCCATCAATGAATGCAAAGCTTATGTTAGTAGTACCATATACTGTTTCTTTAAAAACCGTTTTACAAGCATAGTGTGAGTATCATATAGTACTAAATCAATCACATGGACCAATAGTTGTAATAGGACCAAATCATTTTAATAAGATTAAATTGAATGCTTATATGCGATGAGACCTAAAAACCCTCAACCAAAACATTATTAAGTTGACAAGTGTGAGAGTGCTTTGAACACTCTTTCGTGGCCTTCCACCGTGTTAGTCTCCAATCGTTTGTGACTCATACACCGACTTCACCCTATCATGGGGGAGTACAAAGTACGTGCTTACACTCAAGATGAGTTCTATACACATACATGATGTTGTGAAGGTAGGCAATGAGAATGATCAACATCATATCATTGTGAGGTTGTTCTTGAACCTCTACCTGAACTTGCATGGTGGGAATGACTTAACTAAGTGCAATGGAGCCAACATCATATCATTGTGAGGCATCATTCTCTAGAAGCCGAATAAGATGGTGAAGGAAAAATTTTGTCCTAGCTAAGAACAAGTAAGAACATTTGAATACATATGCAAACTATTAACACTTTAAAGTAGGCATGCATTAAAAAACAATTCATAAAACTCATGACTTTCAAAGCCTAGTATATGGTGAACCAAAAGACTCTTTAACAACATTAAAGAGAAGTAAAGATTTAGAGTTTCTTTACCCTTGAAGCTCATCCTTGTTTACACAAGGGATTCACCCAAGTGGAGGGCCTTCAAGTCACCTCCTAGCTCCTTGGATATTGCTTGTGATTTCCTTCTCCTTTTGTGCTCCTTTGGACTTTGTGGATGTAAGGAAAGGATCTCCAAAACACCAAAGGTTTGGTGTCTCTAAGTCTCCACACCAAGGGTTAAGTGTGAAGATGGATGACTTAGGGAAGAAGAGATTGCTAGATTAATCTCCCTAAGTGGCCGGCCTCTTTGTAGAGAGAAAGAGAGAAAATGTTTCACCTCTTTGCCTCAAAGAAAACCCTAATGAGAAAATAGCTATAAAGTTGCTTTTATAACACTTTTCTTTGGTGAGTGGCAAACTTGCAATTAAGCAAACTTTCACCATCTTCTCACCATGGCCGGCCTATATGTTGTGATTGGGCTTATTGCCCATTTTGTTTTAGTTGTCATACAACTTAAACATAATGGGGCTTATGGACCAAAACACTTTTGGGCCCCGAAACCCAAAACCAACTTAAAAGCCCAATACGAACCTTTCGTATAATTAATTAACTAATTAATTAATCTTGACCATTCTTCAATTAAACCATTTAATTGCATATCCATTTCATTTAATTTCTTCACTATCGTCCTTACTCGGTGTACGATCCATTAGGTTCCAATTAGCGAGGTAGTGGGCGATTGTTACTCTTAACGATCGATTGTGAATTGAAACCACATTTCAATTCTCCCTTTATGATTAGTGTTTGCTAGTCATTAGGGCTTCCACAAACCATGAGTGACACCTAGCAGTATGTCATGGTTACCCAAGCTAAGTAGAATTGGTTGGAGAATGGAGAACCTATCCAGTTACAACTACAATGCAATACGGTCCTTCTCTAATACAATACTCTTAATCACATTGTTTAAGTGATAGTTTGTTTCATGTCTACTAACCAATGTGATACTTTTCTATATGATTCCTTTGAATATGAATTGGAACAAACTTCCTAAGTCATATTCATTTGCTTTGGCCAAAGACTTACGAATCATATCTTAGAGTATTCTCCTTCCACCATGGAAGGTTAGAGATCCCTTGTTGTGCATTCATATGCCTACATGACTAGATAGCTTGACCCCAACAATGCCGTGGACACTCCGATGGAATGCCGTTGACATGATCAAAGATCAAGGACCTAACCATTAGACATCTATGATGCCTCAGGTCAAAGGACTACTTTGCATATTGCAACTTTCGAGTTCTTACATGACATGAATGTTCGAACTCTCTTTCGATCGTTGTTCAGTGTACTCGATTACTCTTTCGAGCACCTATGTGTTTGTCTTAGTGTCCAACACCAAATGACTTGAGACTAGTCATACTCAAGCTTGAGTCGACATAACACATACTAACCTTAGCGGATTGTCAATACCCAATTGGCAATCCTATGGCTAGGAACGTTTTAGGAATGAACATAAGAGAATGGTCTCGATAATCTAACTCACTTAGACCACTTGTCTCTTAGATCAAATACATCCCTTGGATTCCCTTATTACTTAAACACATGATACAATAAATAGTGATCAACAATAAGCTTTGCCCTTCATTAAACATATAAAAGTTTAATACATTAAGTATTCCAAAAAGCTATTACATCAAATGAGTGGCTTTGTGGGCATACTTCCAACAGATGGGTACTTACATGAGAAGTAAATGAGTAAGCGTACTCTCTCATTATTATTGATGCTAGCCAACATCATATCATTG